CAATGGGAATTTAAAAAGCGACAATCGACCAAATTAGAGGGGCTCGCAAAAGTGGCCCCCAGGCAGCCATCGAATTCTTCGCACCTTTACGCAATCATCAAGGCATATTCCGAAATGGCATTTGTGCTACGGAAAATCGGTAAGCTGTCGACCCAGTTAAATATGGCACAGACTTGCGGATCAGCTCTTTAACTCTCAGCCCGGGTTCACATCGTTTTGTGACCGCATTAAATTCTAATAATTCGCTATTATGACATGATAGTCACGTATTAGGCAAAACAGCAACCGAGTAACCGCATAACCAATAACCAACAACTCAGGCACCACGACAAACTGCATTCAGAATTATGAGGCGATTCGAGGCAACCGGTTGGACGACCAACCTCAGACTGGGCCACCGAAAAAATATGGGAGGAGAATCTCGAGGGGCAGGCGAAATTAATGCGCAAATGCCAAAATATTTGAGACAGCCAAAAATTTGCATTCGCATGGAGTATGGAAAATATTGGAAGCAAAACCGAATAATCAGCTGAGTATGTGAAATAGAGTTTTCCAAATGCAAACTACCTATGAGATACACAGACAAATAACTACAGAGAGTTATATGATATTTACACGATTTTCGAAATTCATAATAACATGATACCTATATGATATCTACATGATATCTACATGCTTTTTACATAAACATGTAATGTTGCCTTTCATAATTGTAATCTTAATATTTAAACTAACCTAAAATCATGTTAAATAAATTGGAAATTTATGTTTACAATATCCAGCATATTTCCCAATATTTTTAGAATCGGTTGCGAAACAAATGAATAACTTGTAAGATAAATTTACTATTCCTCAACATTCTACAACATATTTTTCTTCAGTATACTCTTGATAACTACTGGGTGTAGCAGAAACAAACAATTTACATAACAAAAGGCGAATATTTTGTCGCCTGCAGGCGAGTGTTCCACTTCCAGTTTAAGATCTGGCTCCAGGCTCACTTTTGGTTTCAATTTTGGTCGCTTTTTTTTGGTTCGGCTATTTGGAGCGTTGACACATTTCCACATGCCCACACACATCGCAGATTGTTCTAATAACGCGCGAAAAAATCTGCATAGGAATCGAAGCTGGAACCAATACTCCAAATACTCCGAAGGGGCAAAATGAAAAGCTGGCTCTGATCGATTTGTGAGCGGCGACTGCGACGGCGGGCTGCTTAATTTGGCTTATGTTTCATATTTGCCCTGGGGCAGAATCGTTTAGTGCTCGGCCCGTTGATTTATTTCGCCCGTATTTGGTCAGATCGAGGTCCACTCACGACGAGGGTGTTGCGTTGGTGCTGTGTTGCTGTTGCTGTTGCAGTTGCTGCTGCTACCTCCTGTTGCATGTTGCTGCTGCTGCTGCTGGCTGCAACCCAAAAACTTGAACTTCGACTTTCGAAAACAACGGCCCGGCAAAGGCTGACTAATGAGAGAATTATGCAAAGAGATAGAACGGTTGCGATGGCGGAGAAACTGGGATCGGGGACTTTTTGCGTGTCTCGGGACTCGCCTTATTCATTAGGCCCGAAAAACTCACCCGCACCTCGCAGCTAATTGCCAGTCTGCCTGCAAATCTGCATCTAGAAGTGAAACCTCAAGCCAAGCGAAACCAAATGGCAGCCACATCAACATGAACACACATCTTATCGGTCCAACCAATTAAGACACACAAAAACTCGGCTCGACGGCTGAAAATTGTCAGCAAATCGAAATGAAAATCAAAGTCAGTCGAATCGACAGGCAGCCGTTTTAATTTGATTTGATGTGAGGCCGCCGCTGCGCCGAGAAACAAATCGCACAGAGAACCTCCGGCATCCAGTCGCATATTATTTAGTGCACTTAGAAATAAAAACTGCATTTAACTAAGCTATGTTTACAAAAGAATTCCAACATTAGGGTAAAAATCAAACCCAATCGAGAGTTAAGCAATAATGGTGGTTAAAAAGACACCAGGTTCGAATCCCACTGCTGCCAAAAGAGTTCTTTTACGTATTTTCCTCCTTAGCCCTGACAACCCTGATCGTAAAAATATTATATTAAGCATATCATATCTAAATATTATTTCTATAAACTTAATTATTTAATTGTTATTTTAAACAAAAATCCATTTTAAAGTTTTTTTTCAGTGTACCCAGGTCTTTCCCATTCCCCTTCCCTTACCAATCGAGTGCATTTCAGCTATACGCTTTTCGATTTCGTTTGCGATTAGGCTAGGCCAAAAAAAAACATAAGCCCATAGCCGCGATATTTGGCTGCCTGTAATGAGCTAGCGACATGCTCACTTGCTAAATTCAATTGCTAAATTGCCGTTTGCTTTTTTGGCGACCAGTGTGCCCGATTGCCAATTGGCAACTGCCAACTTGTGAGTTGCCAACAGCAGTCGAAGGCTCCAAACTGCCACCTGCAGCGATATCTGAGCCACCATTGTTTCGACTACTGCTCCCAATTATGCAGTTCAGGTGCGTAGCCCCCGAAATTTGTTATGCAAATGAAGGGGGTGTGAGGAAAAAATCTATTAAAAAGAAGAGTGAATTGGGGATGGAAAGTAAAAATTTCTTTATAATATATAGAGTTTATTTTATTTTCGGCTAGTAAAAATCAAACGCAGATTCTTCGGAACAAATGAATTCAATGCTACTGAAAATCAGACCGTGAATTCTTTGGAACAAGAGCTAATACTCAACTTCTTTAGAAGAGGAACACTTCAAATGTTTTTATCTAAAATATCAAATTAATATTGGTTTTATTATATAAATATTAGTTTCTTTCTGTGCACATTTCGCCTGCCCTAACTATTTCTGCAAAAAAACGAGGTGATACAAATGACTCCCCTTGGGCGACGCTACTGTGTGGGAAAGATGCCTATCGGGCGATGTCAACAAGTTGGACATAACTCAACTTGGATTGAATCTGGTAAATGTGGCGTGAAGGTCGAAACCTTTTCTTTGAAGCCCGGGCAAAATAAAGGGGGAAGGAGGCTAATTGAATACAGAGTCGCGAGAAGAAGCGAGCCTTTTGAGGAGATGACTTATTCAGCCCACGCAAAAGATTCCGACTTGTTCGCCTCCATTTGTGGTTATTTTCACGTTCAAAGGTTATGACGTTGTCGTGTCAACATTTTATTATTTATTGTTGTAGCCTCTAGCCAGGCGAAAAGGGTTTGCCCCAAAACAAAAGCCAACTAATGCGCCCACTCCTCCACTGTCTCCAGGCTCTAGTCTTCAGTCTACAGAGTCTTCCGTCTGCAGTCTACAGTCTTCTGTTGCCTGTCGGTGGCTTTTGAGCTTTGAGCGTTGTTTGAGCCGCAGTTTTGAGTTCCTGTCCTGTCCTGTCAGTTATTAATGGAGCGCCATTGTCTGCCCCCCTTTGTCCCACTAACGGCGCTTTGATTTTGCCATAGAAATTAGCATTCAATGCAATTTACTTTGCCATGCCAATCAACGCCCTCCGCCCAGGTTTTTAGGAAGAAAGAAACGAAAAGGGAGTACGCATTCGGGGAGAAACCTCCATGTCAGCCGGCAGGCTAATCAGAGAATTGTTTTTATTCCCCGGATCGGAGCACCGGCAAATTATGCACTATTATGTGCAGCAGAAATCATCGAAAATGCCCGTAAACAACTTCCGATGGCGAAGAAAGCTTGCCATCAAGAGTCTGCACACCAAAAAAAAAAATGTATATTATTAAATCATCTGGATATTATTCTTATTAAAAAGAATACGTTATTACTCAATAATCATTTTATATTTTTGATAATAACATTTCACATTTTCTAATTCTTTTAACGAATTCGCGGTGTTATTTTATTTATTACCAAAACTGTTAGATTCTGATGTTCTGAAGAATTCGCGGTCTAAATTTGTTGAAGAACTTATGTTCTGGTTTTGAAGAATTTGGGGTTCACTTTTTTTTAAGCCGTTGCTCGACACAAATATCTAAAGCGAGGTCTTTAAAAGCAATTCTTCGCAGTGCATCGCCACAGTTCTGGTTGTCGTTGCCTCTTGTCTCTATTCAAGATGTAGGTGGCGACATCGACATCACTTACGGTACACAGATCCCGACATTAGATAGTCGCCCTGCTTTTTTCTTTTCTGTCGGTCCTCAGAGTCTCCGCAGAATTCTTCCGCCCCCCTCTTTTCCCACTTAATCGCAGTCGTGCGCGTTTGTTGATTGTTAGACGCGGATCAAGCGGGAACCGAGAAGAGCGAAGAACAGCGAATGAAGACTGAAGACCCGAAGATGAGGCCCATAGGTTTGGACCTGGAACCTGGAAGTCTGCTTGTTGTCGACATCGTTGATTTCAATGTTTCATCTGCCGCAGCAACAATGAGCTGAGCAAAGCAACAACATAAACAAACAGAGCGTGCCTTTTAATTGCCGTGCCGCCAACAGACATTAACATTAACATTAGAGGAGTCTCGACTTGAAAAAAGAGTCGCAAATGTTGATGATGTATCCGCATTTCTCAACTACTCAGCTCTGTTTCTCCGACTGTGTGGGCGTAGTATAAAAATTACGCAGCTGGATAAGATGGCTCAGATGGGCTGGAGTTAGGGCCCTTTTCACTAAGGAAAAAGTTTGACATTTAATTTAATAAAAGGAAGCACTGCTTACTAAGCAGTATTATTAAAAATTTCGATATTACAAACACATTATTAGATCCTGATCATGACTAGAAAAACAAAACCAGAGAGAGAACGCTACAGTCGAGAAACCCGACTATTATATACCCGTTACTCAGCTAATAGAAGTGCAAGGGAGACGTTATTTGCTCATAGCTTCTTAATTAATGATCCGATTTTAAATAATTATTTTACATTTTACTGTGTCTGAAATTATAAATCAAATTATTTTTTTTATATAAATTAATAAATGATTTTATTTTGTAGATATCAAATATTTTTTTAGTCTGCCTGACCATTGTTGAACTATATTAATCAATTCTTGAATAAAATCGATTGAGTAAAGATATAAATATTCAATATCGGCAAATATAAATATACTTTCGGTTGCACCTTCCATCCTTCATTCCACCCTCTAGGAAAACGCATCGCTGGTGTTTATGCGACTCAGGATTATTGCTGGCCCACTTGAGGAAGATTGGAGGAGCACCCGTTTCAAGGGAAACCCAATCGCCCCATCGGGCCAAGTCCGTGATGCCCACCCAGATGCGTTCCTTGATGTTAACTTCCTTATAGATGCCCTGCAATTCCTCCTCGTTCTGGATGGTCGCCAGGTGACCTCCCAACTTGTGACACTTGCTTGTCGCCACAAACCAATCCGCAGGGTCTTTCTTCTCGATGTAATAATAACTGTAGCCGATCTTTTTAAACATGCTCGGGGGTTCATTTCTTCGAATTACTTTTTTCCCCTCCGTAGCGAGGTGAAGAGCTTTCATTGTTTCCTCCAGTTCAGTCTCCAGACATTCCACACACACTTTGGACTTGGGATTCTTCGTCACTAGAGCCTTAAATTTGCTTTCCATCTTCTTCTGAATGTCCTTTAATTTTTGTTCGGTTTCCTTCTCCTGACCTTCAATCCTGACCAGTTGCTTCCGAGTTTCATTAATTCGGGCCTCATCGCCAGAGTTGATGAGTTCCTTCTTTTGATTGTTGGCAATGTGCTGGAGAACTGGCGAGAGTTCCACCAGACAGACATCTCCCTTTCCATGCAGCGGATTGTAGGTTGGAGCTGGAGGACACGTTGTAGATGCCTGGACGCCATAAAGACCAGAAACCATAAATGTGTATAAAATATAATTGGCGTAGTGGAACATATTCAGTATTTAGTTCTACAACCTGAGAGAGTGAGTGCTTATAAGAAAATGAAGGAGGGTTTATTTTTTTTATTTTAGAAGATCTGTAATTTCGTTCGTCACACCTTTTAATGAGCTAATAAACAGAAATATTACAGGTTGAGGAACTTCCCGTCTGAAAAGAAGATGAATTTGACGTTATGTGGTATCAATTTTGACTTGATGTGCGGGCATCTCAATTCGATATGCACGCAATACCAGAAGTTTACATCGATTTGATCAAAGATTAAAAACATGTCAAAAAATACGACCGTTAAATAAATCCTTTTCTTTGCCTAATCCATTTGATCTCATTTTCCCAGCGATTCATATTGCATGGGTGAGAGACACATAGCGTTTTAATCCCGTTTGCAGATCCACATATAAATCAGTCGCTGTGCAAATTGCTCAATTATAAATTGCCCAACTCGACGATGAAGCCGGGTTCATTTTCCATTTACCATTTTCCGCGCGCGCTTTTCCGCGTCTCAGCGATTGCCCAATGTGGAAATTAGCATTTTGGCAATGCCTTGGCAGCAAACTGCTGTCATGTAAGCGACTAATTAAAATGTCACTCAGTTGCAGCAGCAACTGCACCGCAGCAACACATTGCCAATGCGACGTCCACATCAGCAACATGGGGGTTTCGCCTCCTTCGTCTCAGCCAACTGACCATTCACTAAAGTTACGCATGAGGCTGAAGTTGAATGGAACTAGAAGCAGGGGGTTTGCCAGCCCCCTTAGCCCCTTACGACCCCGTTTTCCAGCAACCTGTTGCTGCGGGTCCTAAGAAAATCTCTCACGAGTTTCGAATTTGCCAAAGCGGCGCAAAACGAAAATCGCCAAAAAACAAAATAAAGATTTAACATTTTGAATTTATTAGCCAAAAAATTGTTGCCGGGGGTTGGAAGAGGCTAGTTTGTCTTTCTTTATGCACAGTGAAAAAATCTATTTTTTTGTTTTCAAACTGTAAGAAAAAAAAAGCCTTCCAACTTTAAAAAAATAAATTGGAAGCTATTAATAGGATAGAATAATACAGAAAAGCTTTCCTAATACAATACTGTATAAATATTTGATTATATTTATTCAATACCAAATTTCTAGGACGTAAAGAAAAACAAGAAAGGAAGCTACCTTCGGCCAGCCGAAGCTTATATACCCTTGCAGATAAAGTAATACTCACTCGGTGCAGTTCCAGGGATTCCAGATTCAGCGTTTCTATTTTTGAATTTTGTTTTTAAGTAGTCAAGAATTAAAACGCCTACTTCCTACAAGTAACAATGAATTTTCTTATATATGTTTGAATATTCCTATGGGAGCCTTAAGATATAGTGGTCCGATCCGACATATGTACTACCTGCAATAGAAAGAAGACTTTCGGGAAAGTTTCATCGCGATAGCTTTAAAACTGAGAGACTAGTTCGAATAAAACGGACAGACGGACAGACGGACAGACGGACATGGCTAGATAGACTCGGCGATTGGTGCTGATCAAGAATATATATACTTTATTTGGTCGGAAACGTCTCCTTCACTGCGTTGCAAACATCTGACAGAAATTATAATACCCTCTACAAGGGTATAATTAAAACATTTTTTGAGGCTTAAATACTTATTATTACTTGGTTATAAGAAAATAACATACATAATAAAAATGAATATTTCTTTCTGTGTGTGGGTCTCTTTTTCGAGGTAATCTCTCGGCTGTCGTTTGCACGGCGCTAATTATCGCTGCTAATGATGCTTTAAAAGGCAGTCGTCGACGACAGGCGGTCCAGCAGCAGCAGCAGCAGAAGCAGCAGTAGATATAGCCAGGGATTCAGGTTCGGCAACTGGACAGGTCTGGTCCTTCTCCTCCTCCTTCTCCTCCTGAAACCCCCTGAAACATCCGAAAACCCCTGCCCTTGGCGATGCTCCTTTCGCTCATCGCATGAGTAATTGACAATTTGCTGAAGTCAGCGTGTCTCCTCTCCTCTACGTGACCACCGCTGGAAGAGATCGGTTCGAAGGAGGAGGAGAAGGAGGATACCCCACTCAGTCCCTATACCTTCCCATCGACGGTATTTGTATATGTTAATTGTGTGACTAATGACAGCCAACTTGTCATATTTTTATCAACATGCGGAGTTAACATTTGTGTTTCGTTTCCTTTCGTTGCGGCTTTTGGCCCAAGGAGAGTTCAAATCACGTTCTAAGCAGGGTTGGCAGTTTCCTTTAATGATTTCCTTGAAGTTAAAGTGGTCTTAAAAAAGGTGTATTGAAGTAAGGGATATTAATTGTCATTTTAGTGATTTTAGATTCATTATTTTATTATTTAAATGAAAAACGGTATTACAAATTGATGTTATTGCTAGGCAACAATAAATTATACAAGAAAATATATAATTATATTTTTAAACCTGTGTGAACCTCTGTGAACCCTTGCACCTCATTAATGATTTAACTGATTTTTCAGATTATTTTTTAGCATTAAAACTTTTTCAGTCTTCAAAATTCTATGATGTTCGCAATAAAAAAAATTAAACTCATCGATTTTAAGCATCCCTGGCATAGAGACATTCGTTTCGCGCTCGTCGATCGCCTATCTGGGTTACTTGTGTGTCAAATTAACGCTCTTTAGGAGCAATATGCAAGATATGGATACGAGCTACAAGACGCCCACAGACTCACGACGATGCACACAAATACACACCAAGATCGAGCCTCTTTGAATGAGACAAACCACACAAACATACCAAGAGAAAAACAAAAAAAAAAAGAAATAAAGAAAAAAATTCGTTAGTTCAAAAAACTCAATCAAATGTCGAAACTTGAAAATCGTGATCATGGTCCTGGCTCTGTCCGCCCGCCCCACGGTCCTTCCCTTTGGTTTCTTAATGGTTGTTGCCTTTAGGCGGTAGCTGCAACAACAACGCCAAGTCAAACAGAAGTAAGAAAAAAACAAAAAAGCCGAGGAAAAACCCAGGGAAAAACAACAAACGGTAGCTGCAAACAAGACAAAAGACAAACTTATCGTTTGAATTATCGGCATTCATTTGCATTTTGGAACCCTGCGATATCCCCACTTTTCCTCCTTCTTCTAAAATCTCGGGGACATTCAGAGAAACAGAGACGAAAATAGCAGCAAATGAAACAAAATACAAAAAAAAAACACATTGCGGAAAATCATTCGAATCGAATGACAATTGTCTCGGCTCTACGAAAAAAAAAAAAAAGGAGAGAGCTTGGGGGAGTAAAAATATCACCTATAGCAAAAACAATGTGAGTGGAGAAATCTTTAACGAACTAATGATATATTTACCCTGCAATAAACTAACTAGAATTTAAAAAAAAAAAAAAAGAGAAATCAGAAAAATTAGAATTTTTTTATTATCATTTATTAATCTATTAAAATCATGATCTAAAAAAATTAACTCTTATTTATTTGAGTGAAAACAGTGTTTTCCACTTCGCTAAAGTCCTTTACAAAAATTTCAAAAAAACATATTAAATCCTAGAAATATATACTTACTGTAGAAAAACACTATTCAATAAGATTTCTCAAATACCATATGGGGTCCAAGATCACCCTAATATCACCCTTTTTTCCCCCTACAGGGTATCAAAATCACACACATTCTGTTAAAACTTTCATGCTCCATCGCTCACTTGCCTTGCGTTGCCTTTTACAGTTAGCCACCGAGGGCCCCGTCTATAAGTCGGAAAAACCGTTGGGCCTCCCCAGCCAAGGAAATTAGCATGCCCAAAGCTCCTTGGCAAAAGAAAAAAAAACCAAGAGAAAAAGAAAAGCGGGGAGGTTTTGAGATTCGGGATTAAAGGGGGAGGCATGGAATGTCAACGGCAGCTGAGATTTTTCCTTGCTTTTCTCCAGCACAAGGATTTCCACACTGTGGTTGTTGTTGGTATGGTTGCTGCTGCAGGAAAACGTGATCGTTTTAACATTTTTGCTTGTTGTCCGCTGGTGATTTTGAGTAGCTTTTAGCAATTCTAATGTTTTTGTTGCTGCTGCAGCTGCTCAGCAAAGCTAAGAGGAAAACAAAAATCGAAAAAAAGATGAGGGAGCGGAATGGCAGTCGGTTCTCAGAACGATAGCACATGCTCCAATACCGTACGATGAGCGGTTTATCCACCGCCTTTCCGACGATCTTTTGATCGATTGTAGGTGAATTGGTCATGGGCATCTCTATATCTCTCTTCTATTTGCCGGAAATGCAGTTGTCGGGAGAAGAATTGAAAATATTAGTTTTTTTTTTTTTTGGGGAAACATCATATAAAACGTACTATCGATTCTAAGTAAATAGATATTTGTTTTATTGTAAATAGGTTTGTTTTTTTCAGCAGTCTAAAATAAAAAAAACGCATGTTAAAAACACAGTTAAATAATTTGTACTCGTAAGGAAAATTTTTCGAAGTAAAATAAAGTACTGTAAGTTTTTTTTTAAGTAACAATCGTTACGGCTTATTAAACCATTTAAAAAGAAATTTAACAGTGGCAAAATAAATCCAGTATAAGTTAGTTAGGAACATTTGCCCCCACAGATGATACTCCTTCAGTATGTTCAAGTGCGCAACATATTTCCTGTACGTATTCATTGTGATCAACTTACATGAAGCCCAGAAAAAAAGTTGTCCGAAATTTCAATGGTACGGTAAACAAACACAGATCGGAGAGGTCTGTCTTGTGGATTTACCTAAACTTCTCAAACACATTTCGAAAAATCCAGAGAAGGATATAATAACGACTGCAATGGACAAAGTTGAAGGTACCCTAGCAAACACAAAAAAGGAAATTAAAACGTTGGAGCCCTATATCGAAAGCCAGTTGAAGGAACTGCAGAATGCACTGGACGAACAAAGCAAAGTAGAAAAACTCGAAGCAAATTTGACATTAGCTACCAAAGCCCTTCACTGTGCGCTGGAGAACAAGAAAGTCCCGAAACTTGGGATGGTCCATCCTGAATTTAAGAGAGTGGGCTCGAGGTACTTTTACGTCGAGCATAACGTCCAGTTGGATTGGTTTGATGCGTCTGCCAAATGTCGGGAGATGGGTGGTCACCTAGCGCTACCCCAAAGCGAAGAAGAACTGCGCCTGATCTATGGGATACTGGAGCCCCGTTGGTTTTGGATCGACCTCAGCGATCTGGTCGAGGTCGGCAAGTGGAGGTCCTTGGTCACTGGCGGGGATCCACCATTTAAAGTGGTCTGGAATGCGGGCTACCCAAAAAGAGACTCATCTGACGAGCGCTGCGTTTTTACATTCATACGTAAACTATCAACCGTTCAATGTGACCACAGATGTTTGTACATTTGTCAAGCCCACGTTTAGTTAGAACTAATACTGATTTATTATTAAAATACAATTAGTTTATCATTAAAATGAAAGATAAATCGTAGTGAAACCTTTTAATGGTATATCCCACTTGTTTATAACTACCACCATTTTTTTCTTTTTAGTGAATGTTTCCAACCATTATCCAGTGGTTTCTGATCACGAGTTGGTGGTGACTTCACCCCCTCGATAACTACGTCTATTCAAGATCTGCCGAATGGGTTAACAAGCTGACCGCGTGCAAATGATGCTATTAAAGTGGCATTTAAAATTTAAGTTGCAGTTAAGTCGCACCATTCTATCTCGCTCGCTAGCTCCCTCTCTTTCGCTCTGCGTTAGGACGTCTCTTTCTCTTATCCACAAGACGAAGCCATTTCTTCGAACCGCTAACCACAAAAACAGAAGAACAACAATGGCAGCCGCAGATACGAAACACTAAAAAAAAACAGAGTACTTTTCTTAAGAAAATTTTTGAATTATTTTTAATCTAATGAATATTTAGAAATATTTTCTTATCGTATCATCTTCAAGTATGATTAAACTAAACTCTAAATTTAGAGGTTTACAACCCAATTTTAGTTTGCCATACGAATGAGAAAGCGAGCCTATATATTCTTTAAAAATTTGTTTAGTTCCCAACATTTTTTATAGTGTATTCGACTTCGACAACAGCGACACGACTTTTCTCTGGATAATGTTTTGCATATGTATGAGAGCCTCTAATTTGCACTTGTGTGCCCTGACCCGCGAGTGTGTGTGTGCCTGAGTATCTGTGTGAGAGCATCTAAGATGCCGCCTGCCGATGCACGCTGCTCGTTTAGATCGTCACCATTGCCGGCGTCTGCCTGACCCAACTTGCAACTTGCAGCTAACAGCTAGCAACTTGCAACAAGCGACCATTGGAAACACCAGCAACATTATGCCCAAAACCAGTGAAATGTTTTTCTCTTGGCACTGCTAAAAAAATCCCCTTAATTCCAGAAAACCGATGTTTTAAAGGCATATTGCATTTTAAACAGTTTGCTTTTTAATAGTCGTAATAAAGACAAATATTTCAAAAATTATTATTTTTGAAATGTTTAAGTAATTTTATTAAATATTTATAAATATAAAATTGAAGTATTTTTTACATATCTAGAATGTTTAGTAATTTTTATTATTAATAGAATATCTAGGAAATCACAATAAAAGTCCCTTTAGTTAGAACCCGCATTTCCCAACTACCGAAGTAATGTCTACAATTTCTTGCAGTCATTTTCAGAATTCAGTTATGTTTTCCCGAGTGTAGATTACTCAGTTGGTTTTCCTCCTCAAATAATCAACAGCAGCAGCAGCAGCAGCACCGTAGCAACAAATGCAATTGGCAAATGTGTTACGGTCACAAATGCTTAACTTTTACTAATAGTTAACAGTTTTTGTTGTTTCTCTCGTTGTTACTCCTTCACGCAGCCGTTGCTGTTGTTGTTGTCGCGATTTTATAGATAAACATTCTATTTGGCAATTAATTGGCATTTTGTTACTTTTCCAGTTGGATTTGTATAAATTGTTTGTTTTTTTCGGCTCACGATATTGAAATGTTGTTGCTGTTTCAGGTTGCTGTTGGTAGTCTCAAGTTGCTGGTTGTGGGTTGCCAGTTGCTGTCGCCAGTTGCTAGTTGCTGGTGAATTTTCGTGATTGTCAGCAATGATTATTTGGTCAACACTTGGCGGCTTTGGCTTAGAAAGTAAGTTCGAACCAAAAGCCGAGCCGAGAAGCAATCTCAGCTAATTAAATTGAAGGTGGATCGGATTTTGTCCAGGAATCACACAAGGGCCGGGGCATTAGCTTCCTTCTTCAGCTTCATTTGCTTCTCGCTGGCCACGAATTTATGGCACTGGCAAGGCAATTGACATTAACCCTAACAGCGACAGATGCAGCAGAGCAGCAACTAGCAACTTGCAACTGGCAAGTAGCAACCAGCAACCGGCAACGTGCAACAACTGGCTTCTGTGGCATTGGGATTGGGAATCAGGAATCGGGAATGGAACGTTGCACTTGGCACACAGATGAATTTATGTATGCAAAGCAGGATTAAAGGGGGGCACAGACAGGGGCGGAGACTCAAAGGGGACTAACCGAAACCGAAAGCGAGCCAAGTTCGCTTGCAAGCTGACTGACAGGACAAAGGAGTTATTTTTCACAAAAGAACAAAAACGAAAGGGAGCAATCTTTCCGGATGGCAGGGGCGGGGGTTCGAAAGGGGGGCTCTGCCACCAGAAGAGGAAGTTTGGGTGGGGTAAGGGGGCGGCAGCAGGAAGAAGAACACAAAGGCAACCACAGTAGTCGCCGCTCAAAAGAACAGTGGTCAGATATTGGATTAACTAAAGGTTAACATTTTCTCAAGCAGACTTTTTTTAACAGGGGGTTAACTTGTTATTATATCCAAAAATCTTAATACAAATTATTTTAACAGATAATGTAAATTTTCTGAAACAAATATAACTAAGGGTTAACATTTTCCGCGTCAGAGCTTTTTACCAGGAGGTTAACTTTCTATATAGTTCCATAATTTCACTAAATTTATATATTTTTTCCAGCATTTGTTACACTATTAATACAAATTATTTAAACAGATAATATACATTTTCTGAAACAAACTTAACTAAAGATTAAGGTTTTCTCAATCAGACCTTTTTACCAGAAGGTTAACTTGCTAAATGGTGCCATAATTTCACTAAATTTATATTTTTTGAAACTTTTTTTTGAACATTTTACGATTTAAAGGTATTTTACATTTAAAGAATATTTACTACAGTAACCAATATTTAGACACTGTGGCAGGTCGGCTTCCTTCCCGCCACAAAAGACATGCACCAGTAGCCGGAGAAACTGAAACAGAAGCCGGAGCATTTCGAAGCCATCTCCTGGCCAATCCGAGTTATCCACAGTACCAACGAGCCACTGAGGAAGCCTCAAATGAAATGTGCGGAAAAGTAAAAGTAAAATAAGTGCGCCAGCGATTACCGAAGACTCAAAGGGGCAGGCGGCAGCAGAATGGGATCGTATTGGTACACATTGTCGTATGCAAAGAGCCGGGGATGGACATAAATTATCTTTGGCCGGGCGGCGGACAAATCTTCAGAAGCCCGACAATGTCAAAGGAGCCTGTCAATTGCCCAACCGAACAAAGAGTGGAGAATCTGGCGAAGGAGAACAGTGAGCGGTGGAGAATCTGCGGAGTAAAGCGAAGCCTGTCAGTGGACGAATCTCAGTCAGGGCAAAAGCAAAAGTGCGCCAGTAGTGCCTGTGGGAAATGAGTCAGAGTCACAGGATCAGGATCGTCGGATCGAAATCGTTTGGGATGCCTGCCTGACAATTGTGAAATGCAAACGACGGCCAGCGAATGGCCAAAAAAAAAAGGCAGAAAAGAAACCAAAAAGCCAGGTTGATTAATTTATGGCCTCCGCTTTTCGCTGCAGACCCATTGTGAGCTACTGGATCTTGGCGCGGCCCTTTGTTTCTTGGCCTTGACTGCAGCAACCGCAGTTCTGGCATTTGAATCACGACCTCGGAAAGCAGGGGAAAAAAGAGGTGTTGTCGTTGTCACCCGGGGAAAATTCGCGGAAAAGTCATGAGCCCAGGAAGCACCCAACCCTGTCCGATTTCCGCCTGCCGAAGCCACGATCTATCTGGACATTTGCCAACTGCAGATCATTAGAGGAAAAACCAACGACAGTTGGGAAAAGTTGAAATGGTATCAATGTTTTAGGAATATTATAAATATTGCTTTAAAAAAATGAAGCACAATAAATGGAAACTTAAGTATTGCTGATAAGCAAATTAGATAAGACAAAATTGTCGGTAGTTTTAGAAAACGTTTTTTATAATTTAAGGTGCTATAGTTGATTCAGAAATTAAAGTCAAGGCTTTATATAAAGAACGAGTAAATGTATCATATGAAATACTATAGTTAGGTAATTATAAAATACGAAATGTTATAAAACAAATAAATATAATTATTGGAAAAATATTATTATGGACTTTGTAATTTTTGGGAAATATCTTGTTACCCATTTTGAATGAACAACTCTCGAATTTGTGTGGCAACATGAAAAGTTCAATGTTAACAACAAATTAAGCGACCGGGAACCGCCCCCTCGCCGCCCTCTTGATCCACATCAATTGGTAAAATGAGAAATTGAAGCCTAATCAGATAAGCCGAGCGTGTGACTGCGCCACAATTGCAACAAAACAACAAAACAGTGGTTGCAAGTTGCAACTGCAACTGCAGCAGCAGCAACCAAAAATTGATTAAATATGAAACACGCAACACCACCCCGCGTTTTCCACCTTTTCGCAATCTCCAGCTAATCGCCGCATTTGAAAAATCGTAAAAAATAAATTGAATTCATAAAAAGATTTATTAAATCGCACTTTTTTTTGGCAGCCAAAAAAAACCACCTTGGCTGCCGCAGCTCCGAATCCAAATCGGATTTCTTATCGCCAGCTGGGCATCTGGAAACTTGGAGGCACAGCAAATGGGGGAAACAAAATCTCCAAGCGATTGCACCTCGATTCTCCGCCCTCAAGGTTAAGCATCAATTAAAAAATGCACCACCAGCACCACCAAAGAATCTCAGATCTAATGCTGCACAGAGAAAAATATTGGGGGGTTATACATAAATTGAAAAATTAAGGCCTAAGATTACTGAAACTTCTTTAAATTAAATAAGAAACGTTTTGAAATTCATCAATCAGCTATTAATAATATTTAGCTAATTAAAAAAGATTAATATTCAAATTTTATATTCCCACATTTTAATAAATCTCTTGGTTTTGTAGTTCTTTTTTATGTTGTTATGATTTTTAAATGCAATAAATTAATAAGATAGGTTAACAATTACTATTCACATGTAAAATTGAAACATTAAGAGACAGCAAACATATTATTAAACCTCTTGTTTTACTAGTTCTGTTTTATGTTGCTATGATTTTAAAATGCAATTAAGTACCATATTTTATGTTCTTCTCTGTAAGATCTGTGGAATTCTTAGACAAGATTTCGGTTGCCGTTGGCTGTTGTGTTGCAGTTTGTCACCAAGTGTTCATTTCGCAGTGCCGTAGTGTTGATGCTGTGGTTCATTTGCATAAAACAAATTTGGTATTAAATGCTAAACGCAGCGATAAGATCAACACCGAGTTGTTGTCGTCGTC